CCTTTTCTAGTCTGGTTAAAGGCAGTCCAGATATTCATGAAGGATAAGTCTTTGATGACCAGGTCCCAAGGAGTTGCCATAATTTGAATTCAAGACATCTAAATTTAAAGTTTGTGTTAATTTAGAATTAGTTTATTAGTCTCTATTAAAAAAAATATTAGTCTCTATTACCACTTAAACTACTTTAGGTGGTTAGATAGAAACCGTGTTTCGAGAGTCGAGGAAAAGAATTTCTAGGTAGGAGCCAATCACCATTCAAAGTCAAATTGCTTCGTCATAGTTATAGTGAGAATTCCAACTTTTTTGTTTGTCATATTATTTGAACTGGAATTCCAACTCTAACATACAAACAAAGCGATGATGGGCCTAAGAATAGAGAAATGTGAGAGGAATTGCGCAGTGGAAACAAAAAGCATGCAAGTTGTTACTTGATTCCAAATGTGATGGTGATTTCATGAGAGAGAGAGAGAGAGAGAGAGAGAGAGAGAGTTGTACAGCTAATCTGAAGTAAAAACGTAGTAGTATCATGTCAATTCTTCTTACAAACAGTCTCATTTATAATCTTGTGTATTTATACCAAGTTTGCCTCGATCCTTTTATTTGCAGGGTCTAATTAGAAGATCTATTTATCAACTAATTCTATGTAAACTTCTTATTAGATTTGTAAATCATATTTCACATTGCCTAGCCTAGTTAAAATTTTTTGAAGGGTTTCAATTTTAACCAACTTAGTCGCTCAAAATACATACCAAGTTTATTGGAATTTAGTCTTAGTAATGAAGGAATCCGTTAAACATGTTGAATATAAGTCAACACAAATTCGAAACAATACGAATTTAATTATATAAGATTATAAATAGATCCGATATAAGTAAAATATATTTTAATACACATAATACAAATACGATACCAATATGCAAAACACGATTCATTGCCAGTCTTAGTTCCATCCAGCTAAGATTTTTTCAAGTCTTCCCACGACTCTATCTTTTGTCTTCCTTGCAATGATCCATTTCAAAAATTCATTGGCCAACCACTAAAGAGTGGGTGTTGAAGTCTTCGTAGCAAATTTTTGGCTGTTCTTAATTAGGAAACATTCCATAACCCAAGTCTTCGGTCTACATGCACGAGGCCGACCCTGAGAATATGCTACTATAGGAATTCCCAAATAAATAAGAATAATTGGGATATCTCAAATAAAATTTTAAGACCAGTTAAAATTTTTTAGAGTCACCAATTTTAATTAGTCTAGTAATTTTAGATACAAGTTACGAATAAAAAAAAATTGACACGATATTAACAAGTTTGAATCTAATTTTAGTACATTTAAATGATAAATGGATAAAATTATTCAGCCTTTTCTTCTTATTGGAAAACGCGTTGATCAACACCAAAACAACAAATTCTAGACTGTAGTCTGGAAAAAAAAAGGGTAAGAAAACTAAAAAGAACTCTTGAAGTAAGTCTCGGTGTCACTTCACCCTGGATCACTTAAATTTACAGTTTTTTCAAAAATTGTAATAAAAAATTTTGAAATGGGGTCCTAATTTTTCAAGTTAAGTTACTTTAAATTTTTTTCTAAGTTAAGTTAATTTTTCTTGTTTTTAATTTCCTTTTATGTTTGATTCATACCATTAGCATATATTTATGAGGAAAAACCACTTGCAAAACAAGCACTATACAAATTAATACATTGAGATCAAAGAGAAGAAATAAACTTTGGTAATGGTAAAACACCCAAAACTAATAGTAGTTATAACAAAGTACTAATCTCTTTCTATAGCCTTTCTCAACATTTAATGTTATCACAGTAACACAATTAGTAGACCTTTGAAATGGATCATTGCAAGGAAGAAAAAAGAAAAAACCTATATGATATCATTAGTATTCAACACCCACTCTTTAGTGGTTGGCCAATGAATTTTTGAAATGGATCATTGCAAGGAAGAAAAAACGAAAGACACGTCGGAAGACTTGAGAAATAATTATGCACATTTTACACAATGAAGCACAACATCCATTACAATATGAAAACAAGATAAAGAAAAACATGAGTTACCACTGACAGGGGGTGGGGGGTGTCATGGGCGTATTGAGGATCAGCAAGCATAGAAATATGCTTATGACAGTGAAAGGAACAGTACTCTCGGTGTCCCCAAAGAGATTTCCAGATTGCAATCATCTAGAAAAAACATTATGTGTGTAATTTTAATGATTAAGATTTATCCACTGCAGTTTAAGATTTACTCCTAGAATCTATAGCATCTAAGATTCTAACTCTTCAACTGCCTCATAAATTACTAATTGAAGCCAGGATTTTACAGTTCCAAATATATGCATGATTACAATTATAAGTATTATAATTATAGTACAAATTTGCAAAAGTGAGTCGATGACTCTACAGATGCCCTGAGAAAGAGGAGTTGAAAAGGCAAAACTTTCACTATTACAAAAAGTCTCTTTTAATGCAGCTATTATAATTGCAATTACAATTCAAAATCCTTAAATTGTTGTAGCTATTAACTAAATGATAAAATATATATTGTAGTAATATAGATATAGATTGTGGCATTAAATATGCAGGATAAGCATGTCATAATTGTAATATTGGAGGGTAATCGTGGAAAAAAATGTTTTTCATATATGATGACATTTTAAAGTAGTATAGAAAGTAGTTAGATTATTTGTCTTAAACTTTTCACAGCTCAGATCGTTTTGATCTGATGGTCCTAATTGATCTTTCATTCTTTGTTTAACTCTAAGACTCTCAACTCTCATATAATTCTCTCGCAACCCTTCTGTGAGGGCCACCATGATGACGACTTTGTCATCTAGTTCTTCAATTTGAAGGACTTTCTCGTTAAAACGAGTAAGACAACTCTCTCTTTCTCTCTCATACTATTATCTTCTTTTTTTTTTGTTTCTTCGGTATTATTTTTGTTATTATCTACTCCATAAAAAAGATGAAACTATATCTTATATCTTATAAAATTATTTATTCTATGAAACTAATTCGAAGTTTTTATATATATAACAACATATATTTTGCCACTTGCTTCTTAATTTATAAATAACACTCAGTATAAATAAATAAAATAGCACATTGATTATAAACACTAAATAATATTCAACACAAAATGAACCTTGTATTGTAAATCAATATATAATTTTATATAAAATTGACATTTAATTTTTTTCAATTTATATTAAACTTTATCGAATTAATATCAAATTACTTTTCATTGTTATCAAACTAATATTAAAATTCATTTAATCAATTTTTTGGGTACAAAATTAAATTTTATTTGATTTTATTAAATTTTTAATTTTTTTGGTACTAAATTTAGAGAAAGGCAATTGTAAAAATAATAAAAAATTTTGGGATGAAATTATCAATTTTCATTAGCAACATTGACAAAAGAGAGACAAAGGAGTCTCTAGGCAATGAATTCAAACGTCAGTGAGTCTCAGTGTTATTTATAAAATGTTAGGGGCTATTCATGTAATATTGTCAAAACTCAAGGAATGTCCATGATTTTTATCCTATTTTTTAATTAAATATTAATTTATTATTATTATATCTTAAAAACTTGAGTAGTTAATGGTTAGGAGGATTTTTTGGTAACCAAAAAGAAAATGTGTGTAGATGTTTTTCTATGTATATTTACATGTGGGGAATTGGATATTTAGTGATCCAATTTGCAATGATATTGTGTCATTTAAGGTTGAATAGTGATAATAGTGATAAATTCATAAATTTTATAAATGAATAAGATTTGGTTGATTTTATTTATCGTTTAAAGATTGTGAGTAAGATTTGGTTGATTTTATTTATCGTTTAAAAATTGTGAGTAAGATTTGGTTGATTTTATTTATCGTTTAAAGATTGTGAATTTAATTGTATTCTATTAATTTTTTTTTTGTTTGAGGTATTTATTACATGGGATAGAGTGAATTAAAAATATAGTAGATGAGTTTATAATTATGTTGTGTTATTGGATTGAGTGGTAATAGAAGTGATAAATTCGTGAGTCTTATAAATGAGCAAGATTTTATTTATTACTTAAAAATTATAACTTTCAATGGAATTATATTAGTATTTTTTTTCTTAGAGGCATTTGTATATATGGTGTTGGTATTGTTTTTGAGAATTTTTATATATTTTTATGACAGTGTCATTAATACGAAGGATATGACCGACAATATATTTTGAGTCATTTAAAAAAAAGAATTTGTATGAATATTTTTAAGTCATTTTTTTTACATTTGGGTAATTATTTAAAATTTCATTTGTTTGTTTTATAGTGTCTTTAGACACGGGTAATAACTAGTATATATATATATATACTAATAAAATTTTTAAAAAATAAAAAATTTTAAAATTTTATTTTACCCTTATAAAATATTATAAAAATACTCTATCATTTCATAATTAAATATTTAAATTACCAACATATCCTTATTTCTTTAAATCTCTAAATTATCTATAACATTTTTTTTAATTGTTTAATCAATTTTTATAAAACTACGTGCAAAACAAACACTATACAAATGAATACATCAAGATCAAAGGGAGGAAATATACTTTTGTAATCGTAAAACAAACAAAACTTATTGTTGTAACAAAAAACTAATCTTTTTGTATAACAGTGACACAATTAGTAGACCTTTGTCCAAAAATAAAAAAAAAAAAATTGATAATGTTATACGTATTTAAGAAACAGTACTTATATTTTTTGATAATATGACTTTATATCCTAAATTTATTTTTAATGACTGATGATTAATTGTATAATTTTATGGATGAACAATGCTAGAGGAACCTTATTTTGGGAATCTTATTTAGGACTTAATGATTGATTTCAATGCAACCATTAGATTAGTTGTGAGTTATAATGTTAGATGGAGCTTACAACTAATTCAATGATTGTATATCATTAGATCCTTAAATAAATTTTTCAAATAAGTTCGGCATATCATTTCCCTTTTACACTGAGCAGATAAGTGGGATTCCGGCTACGGGCTTGAGCCTGAAAAGTCCAAGTTCAGGTTGTGTGATTCCCGTGGTGGAAGACTTGTGTGAAGTGTAGACATGGTCCAATTTTCTAGTTCATGTCTGCAAATTACTACATAATCTAGCCTCTTCTTCACTTGTTTTGTGTATTGTGGATTATCTCTGGTGTAGAAGATACCCCCACTCCAACCTTTTCTCTTAGTGACGGCAAGACCTTAGTTTCAAAACATGGAAAATTTGAACTGGGTTTTTTCAGTCCAGGCAGTTCCAAGAGCAGGTACTTGGGAATTTGGTACAAGAATATCCCAGTTAGAACGGTTGTTTGGGTGGCCAACAGACAAAGCCCACTCAAAGATTTCTCGGGCACATTGATGTTCAAAAAAACAGGCAATCTTATTCTTGTCAGTCACAAAGATGGTGTCGTTTGGGCATCAAATTCATCGGGACAAGTTCAGAATCCAGTGGCACAGCTGTTAGATTCTAGAAATCTTGTAGTAAGAGAAGTGAAAGACATAAACTCAGAGGTATATGTGTGGCGGAGCTTTGATTATCCATCTGATACATGGTTACCAGGTATGAAAATAGGATGGGACTTAAGGGTTGGTCTGGACAGGCGGACATCTTCATGGAAGAATTCCGAAGACCCTTCACCTGGAGACCTAACTTATGGCATAGAACGTCATGAATATCCTGAGGCAGTTATATGGAAGGGTTCAAAAAAGTACTTTCGAACTGGCCCCTGGAATGGCCTTCGATTTAGTGGTGTACCTAACTTACGGTCCAGTCACTTGTATAAATTAAACTTTATCTCTAATGAGGAGGAGGTTTACAACACATACCTGTTCACGAATGAATCTGAAATCATAAAGCTTGTTTTGAACCAAACCACCTCCATGGCAGAGGGCCATACATGGAAGAAAGCTGAACAGACCTGGAAGACCTTTTTATCATGGCCGCTAGACTATTGTGACAATTATGGTGTTTGTGGTGCCAACGGAATATGCGACATTGCTGCCATACCTGTTTGCCAATGTTTTATGGGATTCAAACCAAAATCACCGGAAGTATGGAAGTTGTTGGACTTGTCACAGGGATGCATACGCGATAAGCCTTCGGACTCCCAAAGGACGGAAGGCTTTAATAAATTTGTAGGCTTGAAATTGCCAGATACTACTAATAGTTGGTTGGACAAAAGTATGAGCCTTAGTGAATGCAGGGACAAGTGCTTAAAGAATTGCTCTTGCTTATAATGTTGGAGATATAACAGCAGCCAAGTTTATTATGACTTATTAAATTTTTTTTTTACCTTTTTATCCTTATTATAACTTTCATTGGTTATATATACAGGGCTCTACACTTAGTTTGTATTTCTTTTCACTCACATTCATCTCAGGTTGGTATCAGAGCCACCAACTCTAACCCTAGCCTCCGCCAAACCTCCACTCCATTAAACCAGCAACTCCATTGACCAGTACACAGTCAGCCCATCATCCACTGATTGCCGACTACCTCCACTCCATTAAACCAATAGCTCCACTGACAGCCACATAAACCAACTCCCCATACAAAATCGACTGCCTTCAACCAATATACACACAACGCCGACTATTCTTGGATCAATATAACTCATAACCCATAACTCAGCCCACCTCAATTCACCGACCTACTGCCCAGTCCAACCCAAACCAAATCCAGACCAGCCTCAAACTAGCCCACTCATCAACCCGCTATCGGGTCACGTTTATCTTTTCGTCACAGTGTCGCTATTTTTTTACGCCACCTTTTTTTCTAGAGTTGCAATATCTAGGCCTTTTTGAGAAGGCATCAGATCCTCTTCTCCGTTGATCTGTTTTTGATACAGTAGATCACTTATATATTTTCTGAATTTCTGGGCACCATGACTTGATTATTTGGGAGCTTTTTGGACCTTCTTTATCTGTCGCTATTGTTCGACTTGAAGTATATTGTTCTCCCTTATTTTATCCCTCTATTTATCTTAGAGTTATTTTTTTTCCTGTCACGAGTGCCCACGTATTATTGTTGTCATGGCTTCTACTGAGGGACTGGAGACTCCTACCGTAGAGACCTCTACTGTTGAGGCTTTTATTAGTACTTCTGTCGGGCATGTACCGCCTGCTTCTCTTACTTTTATATTTGACCAGTACACAGTACCTATTGGCACAGTTACTTTATCGACAATGCCGAGAATGATCTCTCAGAAGGTTACGGCACAGTTGTTGAATGGTCGTAACTTTGCTGAGTGGTCACGTTCATTCTAGCTTTTCTTGGGCGTGTAGGAAAGCTTGGTTGGCTAACGAGATCTCACCCAAAGCCAGCTGATACCGACCCTGGATATTCTGCGTGGTTCTCTGAGAATTGCGCCATTCTTGGATGGTTATTTGGCTCGATGGAGTCATCTGTTTGCAGGATAAACCAGTTTCATAGCTCTGTTCTGAAATTATGGAGCACATTATCAAAGAAGTATTCTCAGTCAGGACGGGGAGTTCGTGTTTATGAGCTTTCTCAGGAGCTTTCATTTGTTCGGCAGGGAGATATGACTGTTCAGGATTATTATGGCTATTGACCTAGCGCTGGCTTGAGTATGAGACTCTACGTCCTCTTACTCCTATTCCGAGGATAGAGCCCGAAGGAGCAGCATTCTTGCATACTCGAGAGCAGGAGGATAGGATTTACAAGTTCCTTATGGAGCTTCGTGATGAGTTTGAGGGACCTTATTCCCAGATCTTATCGATGTTGACGCTTCCTTCTCTTTATGAGGTATATGCGATGATTGAGCAGCATGAGCGCCGCGTCCGTATTGCATCACTTCCAATTGCGGCCTTGACTCTCCAACTGATCATATAACCTTTGCAGCAACTGCAGGGTCTCATTCAGGATCCTTAATCAGGGGTGGGCAGCGCTCGGACTAGTGCCGTTAGGGTGCCCCAAATCAGCACAAACAGGGAATTCTCGTTAGTGTGATTATTGTGGCCTACCAGGACATCTCAGGGCTTCTTGCTGGAAGCTCCATCCAGAGCTTAAGTCGCGCTCCTCATGGCCGTACTGCTGCTATTGTTGAGGTACCACTATCTACTACCGCTACCCCTACTACTGCTCCTCCTTGACATAGTGATATGGATGCTATCACTTCCCGATTGGATATACTTATGTCTGCTCTGACTTCTCAGAGTCCGACTACTACTACAGCCACCACTACAGGTATACCTCGTGTCTTTCATGCTTGTGCCAGTCTGTCTCCCCTTTGGATGCTGGACTCAGGTGCGAATGCTCACATGACAGGTGAGGCTCATCACTTCACCATTTTTGACGAGCAGTTACATACACAGTTCAGTTAGCAGATGGAACACATGCCCCTATTATTAGTAGAGGTACAGTCCACCTCCCAGATGGTTTTATATTACGTTCAATATTTCATGCGCCAAAATTGGCCATGAATCTATTATCTGTACATCAGTTAGTCAGAGATTTTCACTGTGCAGTTGTGTTCTTATCTGATTCATGTTATTTGCAAGACTTGAGTACCAGGAGAATTATTATCAGGGGACATGAGAGAGATGGACTGTATTTTCTAGGCGATTTGCCTTCAATTTCACCAGTTCCTCTACCCACATCACATGACCCTGCTTTATCTTTATCTGTTTCTAGCTTGCATGCTAGTATTTTACCTAGTAATTGCCGTTATGATTTTTGGTCACAAATTGTTTAGTTGTGGCATGATTTTTTTAGACATACAAATTTTAAATATTTATGTATGTTTTTCCTGCTTTAAGCAATGCTTGAGTTGGTGGTAAACTTGACTGTGTTATCTGTTCCCTATCAAAACATGTTAGGACCAGTTATATTCCTCGCATGCACCAGTCACTCAAGTCATTTGACCTAATACACTCTGATATTTGGGGACCCTCTCCTGTTACTGCTCTATCAGGTGTCCGATACTATGTGACATTTATAGATGACCATACCCGTTGTACTTGGGTCTACCTTTTGCATAGGAAGGCCGATGTACTCCCTATAATCACTCAGTTTCTACAGATGATTAAGACACAATTTGATATCATTGTTCGTGCTCTTCGTTCAGATAATATCAAGGAATATGTGTCTGATGTCTTAGTGTCTCACATTTCTTCTCAAAGTATCTTTCAGTAACTCACTTGTTCATATACTTCTGAGCAAAATGACATTGCTGAAAGGAAAAATAGGAGTCTGATAGGGATTGTACGTTGTATGCTTAGAGGCATGGGGGTGCCAAAATCTTATTGGCATTTTGCTATTTTGACTTCTACCTTTCTGTGCAATCGTACGCTGAGTCGTGTTCTTCAGCATAGGGCTCTCTTATAAGTGTTATTTCCTAAGCGAACACTTTTTTCAGTCCCCCTCTTATTTTTGGATACACATGTTTTATTCAGGATCGGTTTCCTACTCGTCATAAGCTTGATGATAAAGCAGTTCGTTGTGTCTTTGTAGGCTATTGCAATCAGTCTAAGGGGTATCGGTGTTATGATCCTGTTAGGCGTCGTATGTATCACAGTCTGGATGTTACCTTTCTTGAGCATATTCCTTATTTTTCTTCCAGTTCTGTGTCTGCCCCTCTAGTTGATGATACTTTCTTTGATTTTCCATTACCCCCAGAGCCAGAGCCATTGGTCACTATCACTACAGAGTCATCGATTTTTCCTCCTCCAAAGTCACGCATCCCTGGTACTGAGTCATCGGTCTCTCTTCCTTTACAGGTTTATGTTCGTCACCCTCACTCTCATCCCCCTGCTAATGTCCCCTTTACCTCAGGCGATACAGGTAATACTTTTCCGTTTGTTGAGCATATTGATACACCTGTTGTTAGTACCGATGAGATTGCAGGTACTGAGCCAGTTGTTTTACCTGATGAGACATTATCAGTGGAGGATGATGATTTAGAGCATCGTTATTCGCGGCATAATCGTCATCCAATTGTTCATTATAGTTGGACTGCCAAGATTTTATACCCGATTTCTGCTTATGTTTCTTATGGTGATCTGTCTCCTAAATTTCGGGCTTATAGTATGGTCTTATCAGATACATCGGTTCCTCGCTCTGTTTTAGAGGCTATGCAAGAGCCCCAGTGGGTTTTTGCAATACAAACAGAGATGGAAACTCTTCAGCATAATTATACGTGGGATCTTGTCTCTTTACCTTCAGGGGTGAAGCCTGTTGGCTGTCGCTGTGTTTACACCTTGAAATTTTTTGTGAATGGTACTATTAATTTCACAAGGCTAGGCTTGTGGCGAAGGGCTTTACTCAAGTACCAGGTCGTGATTTTGGTACTATATTTGCCCCCATGGCAAAATTGACTATTGTTCGACTGATTATTTCTCTGACTGCGGAGTACTTTTAGCCTCGTCATCAATTGGATGTGAAGAATGCATTTCTTCACGGTGATATGGACGAGATTATTTATATGGATGCACCACCGGACTTTCGTGGTGAAGGGGAGTATGTTGAAAAGGTATGTCGACTGCATAAGTCTCTTTATGGACTGAAACAGTCACCACGAGCCTGGTTCTCTCGCTTTAGTGATGTAGTTGTACGTTTAGGGTTCACCAGATGTCATTCTGATCATACCTGCTTCATTCGACGGAATATTTCTGGACAGTGTGTCATTCTTTTGGTATATGTTGATGATATTATTATTACTGGAGATGATACTTCTGGGACTGTGCAGATCAAGGTAGATCTTGGGAAGGCCTTCAATGTGAAAGACCTTGAATTTTTTTGATACTTTTTTGGGATTGATGTTGCCCGTAGCAGTAAAGGTATTATTCTTTCTCAGAGAAAGTATGTTTTGGATCTTCTTTCAGGCACTGGGATGCTGGGGTGCAAACCGGCATCATCACTCATGATTCCAAACCTGAAACTTACTGCTGAAGGTGAGGAGTTGAAAGATTCGTCTGTCTATTAGAGGTTGGTAGGTAAACTTATCTACATAGCCAACACTAAGCCAGACATTTCATTCGTTGTCAGCCGAGTTAGTCAGTTCATGCATAGACCATGTCAGCCTCATCTTGATGCAGTTTATCATATTCTTTGGTACCTCAAGTCTTGTCCTGAACTTGGGTTGTTCTATACATCAAGATCTCAGACTGGTTCTCTAGCCTGTTATTCAGATTCAGATTATGGGGGAGCATGTGACAGTCGATCTACTATAGGCTTCCGTGCTTTTCGAGGGATTCATTTTATTTCTTGGAAGAGCAAGAAGCAGTCAGTTGTCTCTCGTTCGTCAGCATAGGCAAAATATCGGGCACTAGCACTTGGCACATGTGAGATTATCTAGCTACGATCGATTCTTGGCGAGTTAGAATTTTCAGTGACTTCTTCATCTACATTATATTATGATGATCGATCTGCTATTCAGCTTGCTTCTGATTCTGTATTACACGAGAGGACGAAGCATATAGAGATCGATGTCACTTTATTCGGGAGAAGGTTAGCAGTAGTATTATCACTCCATCGTTTGTGAGGATCAGTGATCAGGTTGCAGATATTTTTACCAAACTTATCACTCTATCTATTCTTTGGGACTCTGTTGTTAAGTTTGACTTAGTTGACATTTTTGCGCCTAGCTTGAGGGGGAGTGTTGGAGATATAACAACAACCTAGGTTATTAGGGTTTATTAAGTTTTCTCTTTTTACCTTTTTATCCTTATTGTAACTTTCATTGGCTATATATATAAGGCTCTACACTTAGTTTTTTTCCCTTTTCACTCACATTCATCTCAAGTTATACAAACTCAGATATTAGAGAAAATGGTAGTGGTTGTGCACTACGGTTTGGTGATCTGGTTGATATCAGAAAGCTCTCCACTGGCGGAGACGATCTGTATGTAAGAATGTCTGCTTCAAGCTTAGGTATCTGTCTTTCTTTTATTTTTTCTGCTCTTTCATGTGCTTTTTACGGAATTTTATGTTTGATCAGTGGATTTTGTCATACATAAATGTGACTGTTTGCTTCCAGAAGGGACAAAGAATGGGACTACAGGGAAGTCGGATCCTGGAGAGGCAAAAGATGGTACCAAATGGATCATACCAGTTACTGTTGTAGCCCCCATTGCAGTAATTTCTGGGATAATTCTTGTCATCTATTACATTTGGAAGGGCAGGACAACAACAAAAGGTAAATCTTAAACTACTAACATGCTCGTTCCCACATGCAAATTAGAAGACATTAATAGGTATATGATTTAAAAGTTTTGTTTTCTGAACTGGGAAGCATTGTCAAACTAACTTCACATTGTATTTTAAGAATTAAATTAATTTACAGACATTCAGATAGTACCCTTGGCATAGTAAAACTTCCATACTAGAATTTACTTGAAATTATAACATTCCTTGATGCTATATTTCTAAATTTTTGAGCTTCTAGTGTAGGAAATCCGTGTTTTACCTATATGATTTAACCATTTGTTTACTTATGTTATTTATCCTTGTGGGTGTTCCCTGTAACACGTATTGAAGAAGGGACCGATGAAGATCTAGATTTACCCTCATTTGACTTGTCTGCAATATCTATTGCTACTGATAACTTTTCAATAAATAAAAAGCTTGGAGAAGGTGGATTTGGACCTGTTTACAAGGCAAGCTGCTAATGACCATAAGTTGCAACGAAACACTAGATTTATTTGAGAATACCAATCTTTCAACATTTGGTGATTTTTCAGGGAACTTTAGTGGAAGGCCAAGAAATTGCTGTAAAGAGAGTTCTAAACAAGGCTTGATTGAGTTCAAGAATGAAGTGATACTAATCGCCAAACTTCAACATCGAAATCTCGTAAAGCTTTTTGGGTATTGCAATCAAGGAGAGGAGAAAATGTTGATTTATGAATATTTGTCCAACAAAAGTCTAGACTACTATATTTTTGGTTAGAACCTTAAAAAACTAACCATTTTAAGTAGATTGGTACATTTCTTATTTTTATAGTATTTAATGCCTCCGACTTTTTGTTGTGTGCGCAAAAGTTGGAGAAAAGACTAATTTGATAAGTGACAAAAATTACCAGATGAAACAAGAGATAAACTATTAAATTGGTCAAAACGCTTTCACATCTTTCGCGGAATTGCTCGGGGGTTTCTCTATCTTCATCAAGATTCGAGACTAAGAATTATTCATAGAGATCTCAAAGCAAGTAATGTGTTACTTGATAATGAGCTAAATTCGAAAATATCCGACTTTGGGTTAGCTAGAAATTTTGGAGATCAGGGTGAAGAAAATACAACGAGAGTGATTGGGACATAGTATGTCTACAAACCCATTTTTGTTCTCTATAACACCATAATCTACTTATGTGTTTTGACTTTTCATGATATTATGCAGTGGTTATATGGCACCAAAATATGCTATTTATGGAATATTCTCGGTAAAATCTAATGTTTTTAGTTTTGGTGTTCTTCTATTGGAGACAGTAAGCGGGAAGAAGAATACAGGACACCATCTTATTCTTATTAAACTCGTAAGTGTCAAGAATCTGATATTTATATAGGTTCGTTGTTGTAAAATTTTGAATCACAAAATGAGCTTAATCTTGTTGTAGGCGTGGAAATTGTGGACCGAAGAGAGGGCACTTGAACTGATCGATACATCAGTTAAGGACTCGTACAATTTACCTGAGATATTCAGATGCATCCATGTGGGTCTCTTGTGTGTGCAACAGCTTCCAGATGACCGGCCGGACATGTTATCGGTGGTTATGATGTTGAGTGGTGAGAGTGCATTGCCTCAGCCAAAGCAGCCTGGTTTTTTGATAGAAGTACAGAATGAAGTTCATCCCTCATCAAGCAAGCATGAATCTTGTTCAGCGAATGGTGTGACAATTACATTGTTGGAGGCTCGTTAGCAGATTTCCATGTTGTTGCCACATAATGAATTGATCAATACTGTCAAAGAATCGAACGAGTCTGACACATTCAGCCGTGTCACGTCTAATTCGCGGCACTTTTAATTCTAATAGCTATTCATTCATGTTTCATATATATCACAATTTAATAGGTTCAATTAACTTTTAATAGACTCCGAAAAATTTCAGTCTACCGAGTAATTATTAGAGACATGTAATGTATCTACTCATAAAGTTCTACTATGTTATGATTATAAGGTCTAAATATTTCATTTTGTTCAACTAATTTCTTTAATCTCTATTTATTTTTTTGTACGTATTGTCTGATATCAATTTGTCACGGTGTTTTGATACACCTCAATGTTGTCCGAGTCCATCATTCTTTGAGCCGTATGTTAAAAGAAAAGGGTAACAAAATTGCACGTGATTGGGGTGTGGCAGAGGCAATTAATTTGTGGTTTCTTTCATGTGTAAATTATATTTTACTCCCTCAAATTATTAGCCTTGTGTCACTTTACACCCGTAACTATAAAATTTCTTACATTGTACCATAAAATATTAATTTTATTTCATATCACTCTAATAAATAATGATAAACTTGAAAATCTTTCAAATGAGGGAGAAAAATTCCAAAGAACTTCCCATCAAGTTTCTAGTATCACTTTATTTTATCTTTTTTGCAACCAAATAGTTGGTGGAAAAAAAAAGAAGGTTAGCCAGAGGAAAAAAATTTAGAGCATAAGAAGTGAAAAGTCATGGATAAATATTTTTCTTAATTTTTTACTAGTATATATGTAATAAACAATAGTTTATTAGTAGTACACACTATTCACATACGCATTTACCGTCAAAAAATTGACATTTGTTATCAATTGAAGTGATATGAAACAAAATTGATATTTTAGGGTATAATGTGAGAAATTTTATAATTGAGAGTATAAAATAAAACAAGTGTAATAATTTAAAGGGATAAAGTATAATTTACCCTTCTGTCCTTTTCATTTTTTATTTCCGTTAATAACGGAGATTTGGTCAGTCGGCACCCAATGGTGTCTCATCTTACCTTTGTCCCTACTAAAAAGACTAGAGAAAGTCTATTAATTGAATCCAAGGTGGTTTGATGCTCTGAACCAGGGGCGGCCCAAAGTTATCAATCTCAATCTCAAAATTGATTTTCAAACTTGAATTCATGACATATCATTCTGAATTACGAATATTATGTCTGAACTCAACCTTTTTAAGTTCAAATCACATGTGATTAGGAACACAAGAAAAAAAAGAGAGTATATTTTGATTACTCCACCATATGTCCACACACAAGCAAAATACTATCATCATTAGTTGGTCTAGAAAGTCGAATTTTATCGTTCAAAACTTTGGATTCAAATCTTCATAACTACGATAATTCAACGAGACTAAATTAACTCTTTAATGCCCAGAACAAACAGTGAGACCTTAATTTCGATCCTAACATAAGTGTAATTGAGCTTTTATAGATAACTGTGTGATACTAAGAGACAATATTTTTTGCAAATATGGGTAACGCCTTATCTCAACCTCTTACTATCATAAAAGGCTAAACAGCCATTGACTAAAGTTGTCCATTACAACGAAAAATGGTGATGGGGCGTGACAAAAATATATCATCATTCTATATGGCAAAAAAATATTAATATTTCCAAGTCAATCTCATATATTATTATTTTCGAGTCAATCTCTCTAAACGACACCATTATATTTCACAACCTCGAGAGGGAGTTCATAGGTCGAATTGTCCACGGGTCTTATTTCTCAACCCAAAAAATTAAGTCTAAAATTTTATAGACCCAATTATTAATCTGCTCGAGCACAATATCTTTCAAGAAAGAGCTTAGGCCAACCCCCAAATCCATTATTCAACCCGAAAAACTAGCCAACAGCCCCGCCTTAAAAAGCCGATTAAAACCCGGCCTAATAACCAACCTGTCCTACCCAATCAAAACATGGAAATAAGTCCCCCAATGCCAGATTTTGAAGTTTTAGAAATTTAGATATTATAGGTATCAACCTAGTTAAGATGTACTATTCTATTGTAACGCAATTCTTCCTCTTATTTATAAATAAAATTATTCATTATTTATTTTTTGTCTATTTTAACTCATACTTTTAATTCAAAAATATAAGTTACAAAAATATTAAGTTACAAAAATATTCATTATTTCTTATTAAAATTGTATATAAAAAGTCCGTCTAATAGGACTGTCCGTAGGCCCTACCAACTGGTCAATAAGCCCACGCTAACAGGGTCAGTCTAATGAGTGACGGGTTGGACTGCAGCTAACTTACCCTTATTTATAGGGGTGTTCAAATTTTTGATTGGCTGCAATTTCCTACCCTACCCTATCCTACTGAACGGCTAGCCGTAAAAATCGGGTAAAAATGAGAAAAAAAAATTAGTCTTCCAATTAAATCGAGAAGGAATGCGGAATACCCATCAATTTTCGCATTCCTACCTTACTTTACCCACAAAAAATATATTTAATTTTTTTATATTTTTTTTAATAATTATAAGAGTATTTGTGTGGTATAATTTATATTATAACATTGTTATTGTTGTGGGTGTTTGATTTGCGAAATTATAGACTTGTTTTTTGTGTAGATTACAAGATTTGTGGTGAACTAGTGATCTATTTGAGCAGTTATGATTTTAATGTGTTTCATATGATTTAAACTTAAAATAATTGTTTGTATTTGTGTAACAATTATAATGGATTGATGTTCATGATTTTTTATGTTTTATTGTAATTGTTGTTGTAGTTGTTTTAGATTTTAGTGTTATTGATTTATTGTGTTGTTAAATTGATGCATGTTATTTAATTAAATTGTTAAAATGATCCAAAAATTAATAGTTACAAAAGTGTTTACCCGATTTCCTACGCGACTTCCTACCCGATTATTCGGGTAGGAATACCACTCCTGATCGGATATGGTAGGCCAAAAAAAAATTCTTCCGCAAAGTATCGGGTAGAAAGACGAAAGACAATATTTTCTACCTGTAAAATAGGGTGAACACCCCTACTTATTTATATTCCAATATATTTTTTATCGTGTAAACCAATAAAACTAGTAACAATTACTAATTCATTACTTCTACTTTATGTTTCGAGCACTCAAATTGATTTTGTTATGAGAAAGATTAAGTAAATTATTTATACTATTAATTAAAAATAATATGTTACCATTAATTTAATACAATATCTAATTAGTTATTAAGTGCTTTGAAAAGTGAAAAAATTCACTTAAAAAAATATAAAATGCCTCAGATCTGTCGCTTTAAGCCTCAAGCCGGGCATGATTAGCTTCTATGAAATTTTAACTAATTTGTAAAAATATAATAGATAGGATGAATTACATTGAGACCCCCTCAATTTTTGTGAAATAAAACGAGAACCTCTTGGCATTTAAGAAATGATACAGAAACCACTCTATAGTTTTTTTATATGATTTTCCACAATTGAATTTGTATATAATCTTCTAATGGTGAAAATTTAATAAGCAATTTCAGTACCCAACTAAAGCAGCTCAATAACCACACCAGGCTACTAACATTTGACGTGTTATCTGTTGGGCCTAGTAAGTTCAAAAAATAAAAAAAAAATGTTGGGGGTAGGGTGCCAATTTTACTCATCGGCACGAATTCGAAACCATACGAAATGAAATAAAAAATGATATGATGAACTAAGAGGATTTATTTGAAAGGGAATAACACGTTTGGCCGGTATTAAAAACAAAAAATGAGCATTTTATTATTTTTAAAATTTCTTTATATGATACTGAATGAACTGTTTTACAATTAAATATTTTTTTTTAACACGAATATGATACAAATCAAAATGACACGACTTAAAAATAAGACATACGACACTAATACGCTGTTAGCTGGGGGGGGCAGATAAGTTTGATTTCATCGGCATAATTCGGGACAGTAACTTTGGCTTTTAATGCTGAATAGCCTTGAGAGATTTTTCCATCTCGCAAATAAAATTTTCAAGTATTTTGAATTTCATGAGTCTGCCTTTCTTCTTCCTTGAAAGCTCCATTGCAATAATTTATGGGCTTTGCTACGCTGCCCAAATGGTATACCAAATGGGTTATCAAATAATTTATACAATTTACCCTCTATACTTCAATTATTATAGTAGCTACTCCTAGTCTTTGGAAATATTATTTTATCCTATAAAATGCTTTTCCAGTTGGCTTTTAAGTTTTTGAGCTTTATGTTTTCTATAATTTATCTTCCAAATTAGCAATCTAATTTGAAGACCAACTACTCTGAAGTTAAATACGGTTGCTGGCCTTGATTCTAGTTCGTGTTTTTGGTGTTCTAATGTTTCAATCTCTCTTTGTAATACAATCAAATTATGATAAAGCTTGTCTCTAATTTATAACATGCAAATAATTGAAGAGCTACTTAGGTAAATAATCAAAACCGCATATGCCTTTCAGGTTCCACCTCACTTCCTTCTTCTTCACCTTTACTTCTTGAAGTCTACTACCCATTTCTGTTCTGTATCTCAAGCGAGATTTTAGATATTAGGACTTGTCTTCGAACTACTGGAACAATCTACACGGCACCTCCTGGCCTTTAACAGTTTCTTTTATTCTCACAACAGCCCAGTGATCTTTATCTCTCCTTTGATATAGAGGAAAGACATAGTAAGGCTATTGGAAATGACAATTGAAGAAAGATATAAACTGTAAGGGGTTTTCTTCTTCTTCCCCTCCACGGAAGGTTTTTGGCCAACCTGCGCTGAGTCCTCCCGTAACTTTTTATCTCTAGTCCCACGTCGGGAAAGACTCGTCTCCCCCCTGCCATATAAGTGAACATTTAGTATGGAGGAGGTACCTCCTAGCCACCTAGTAAGTGTTCACTTATATGGCAGGGAGGGAGACGACTCTCTCCCGACGTGAGACAAGAGGTAAAAGACTACTGGAGGACTCAGCCCAGATCAGCCAAAATCCTTCTGTGCAGGGGAAGAAAACCCCTTACATAAACGAAGACGCGATACTGAAAGGTTTTATTCCATAGAACTAGTAGTGAAGTTATTTTGTGGATCTTCTTTCTTATTCATATAACTATCTAAGAAAAGATGAAGAACTCTGTTTTACAGTTTTGTTTTCTGAACAGGGGAGCTATTATGATTGCAATGTAAAAATCTTGCAATGGTCAAACTGTTGACTCTTGAGCTATGTATATATAGGACATCATTTCGTAATTGATTATATATTTCGTAATTTTGAGCTTTTAAGAAAAGAAATCCATTTTTTCACATATGGTTTTGGCACATATTGTAATTGCCCATCTATATCCATACAGTAGCAGTAGTTTATTTTATTTATTTATTTTTTTTTTTTTGATGTTTCTTGTAACAAGTATTGTGCCTTTGTTTATACTATAGCTGAAAATGGTCATAGCAAAGAGGGCCCAAACGATCAAGAATTAGATTTACCCTCGTTTGACTTGGCTGCTATATCCATTACTACTAATAACTTTTCAACAAATAACAAACTTGGACAAGATGGTTTTGGTCCAGTTTACAGGGTAAGTTGCATGCAACATGCTAATGACTAGAGGATGTTAAAAGACACTAATTTATTCAAGAATCACTCTTTCTACAATTGGTAATTTTCAGGGCACTTTAATAGTTGGTCAAGAAATTGCTGTGAACAGACTTTCAAAAAGTTCAAGACAAGGATTGACGGAGTTAAAAAATGAAGTAATACTGATTGCCAAATTTCAACACCAAAATCTTGTAAAGCTTCTTGGTTATTGCAATCAAGGAGAAGAGAAAATGTTGATTTATGAATACTTGCCCAACAAAGCTTGGACTCTTATATTTTTGGTTTGAATCTCAAAAACTAACAACTTTCAAGTAAAATAGTGCATTTATTGTTTTCGAAAGTTTAATGCCTCTAATTGGTTGTTATGAGAGAATAGACTAATTTGATACATGGAAAAAATTACCAGATGGAACAAGAGGTAAAATTTTAAAATGGCCAAAACGCTTTCACATCATATGCGGAATTGTTCAAGGGCTTCTCTTCCTTCACCAAGATTCAAGATTGAGAATTTTTCACAAAAATCTCAAAGCAAGTAATGTGTTACTTGATAATGAGTTGAACCCGAAAATATCAGATTTTGAGATGACTAGAATTTTTGGAGATCAAAGTGAAGGAAATACTAATAAAGTGATTGGACATAGCATGTCTAATTGTCTATGAACCTTTTTTTTTTTTTTTTTGATTGCTGGAATACTATGATCTCTTTTAACATGTTTGACGTTTAGTTGAGGGCTCACCAGTCACCACCACAAGAGTTGGGACAGACAATTTAGATTTCCAAGTCAATTTGGCTTGTAACGCTGAAAAGTCTTGACAGATTATTCTGTCTGGCAAACAAATTCTTCAAGTCTTTCGACTTTCATGAGTCTGTCTTTCTTCCTCCTCGAAAGTTCCATTTCAACCATTCATTCACCCACGGAAAAAGACACTGTAGTGAAGCCTTTGTGATACTGCTTTCCTATGCCTGGAGGATGAGGGTATTGAAGCCCCAGCTCGGGTGGTCCAGTTCACTGGTTTAATTTCCTCCTCTTGTGGGATACTTGTGTGTTGTGTACAAGTCAAAAATGTGTGTTTTCTAACTCATTCTACCAAATTACACCAAAATATAGCCTTTTTCTCTTAACTTGCAAGGGATTATCAAAGATTAGAGAACATTAGAGATCATCAAAATGAGCAGTCTTTTGTTTGTTCAATTTTATGTTTGCTTTTGTTGTTTATTATCGAAAACCTCTGCTTTAACTGATACTATCACTCCAACCTTATCTCTTAGTGACGGCAAGACCTTAGTTTCAAAACATGGAAAATTTGAACTGGGTTTTTTCAGTCCAGGCAGTTCCAAGAACCGGTACTTGGGAATTTGGTACAAGAATATCCGAGTTACAACTGTTGTTTGGGTGGCCAACAGAGAAAGACCAATTAAAGATCTCTCCGGCACATTCATGGTCAACAGCTCGGGCAATCTTCTTCTTGTCAATAGCCCTAATGGTGTTGTTTGGTCATCAAATTCATCGGGACAAGTCCAGAATCCAGTCACACAGCTTTTAGATTCTGGAAATCTTGTCATTAAAGAAGAGAAAGATGTAAATTCAGAAGCATATGTGTGGCAGAGCTTTGATTATCCATGTGATACATTGTTACCAGGTATGAAGCTTGGATGGGACTTAAAGGTTGGTCTGAACAGGCGGCTATCTTCATGGAAGAATTCCGAAGACCCTTCACCTGGAGACCTAACTTTAGGCATAGAACTTCATGAATATCCTGAGGGAGTCATCCGGAAGGGCTCAACAAAGTACTTTCGAACTGGCCCCTGGAATGGCATTCGAATTAGTGGCACACCTAACTTAAAGTCCAATTCCTTGTATTCATTAAATTTTATCTCTAATGAGGAGGAGGTGTACTACACCTATCAGTTCTATAATGAATCTATAATCGGAAGCCTTGTTTTGAACCAAACCACCTCCTTGGTGGAGCGCCATATATGGTTGGAAGCTGAACAGATCTGGAAGACTGTTTCATCAAGACCGCAAGACTATTGTGACGATTATGGTGCTTGTGGCGCCAACGGATTATGCAACATCCTTGCCACACCTGTTTGCCAATGTTTGATAGGATTCAAGCCAAAATCACCGGACAGATGGAAGTCGATTGACACGTCACAGGGATGCATACGCAATAAGCCTTTGGACTGCAAAAGTACGGAAGGCTTTAATAAATTTGTAAACTTAAAATTGCCAGATACTACTAATAGTTGGGTGAACAAAAGTATGAACCTTAGTGAATGCAGGGAGAAGTGCTTAAACGATTGCTCTTGCATGGCTTATACAAATTCGGATATTAGAGGAACTGGTAGTGGTTGTGCACTATGGTTTGGTGATCTGATTGATATCAGACAGTTCCCCACTGACGGAGGCGATCTATATATAAGAATGTCTGCTTCAAGCTTAGGTATCTGTCTTTCTTTTATTTTTTCTGCTCTTTCATGTGCTTTTTTATTTTTTCTGCGTAAATGTGACTGTTTGCTTCCAGAAGGGACAAAGAATGGGACTACAGGGAAGTCGGATCCTGGAGAGGCAAAAGATGGTACCAAATGGATCATACCAGTTACTGTTGTAGTCCCCATTGCAGTAATTTCTGGGATAATTCTTGTCATCTATTACAATTGGAAGGGCAGGACAACAACAAAAGGTAAAATCTTAAACTACTAACATGCTCGTTCCCACATGCAAATTAGAAGACATTAATAGGTATATGCTTTAAAAGTTTTGTTTTCTGAACTGGGAAGCATTGTCAAACTAACTTCACATTGTATTTTAAGAACTAAATAAATTTACAGACATTCAAATAGTACCCTTGGCATAGTAAAACTTCCATACTAGAATTTACTTGAAATTATAACATTCCTTGATGCTATATTTCTAAATTTTTGAGCTTCTAGTGTAGGAAATCCGTGTTTTACATGTATGATTTAACCATTTGTTTACTTATGTTATTTATCCTTGTGGGTGTTCCCTGTAACACGTATTGAAGAAGGGACAGATGAAGATCTAGATTTACCCTCATTTGACTTGTCTACAATATCTATTGCTACTGATAACTTTTCAATAAATAAAAAGCTTGGAGAAGGTGGATTTGGACCTGTTTACAAGGTAAGCTGCTAATGACCATAGGTTGCAACGAAACACTAGATTTATTTGAGAATACCAATCTTTCAACATTTGGTGATTTTTCAGGGAATTTTAGTGGATGGCCAAGAAATTGCTGTAAAGAGACTTTCAAAGAGTTCTAGACAAGGCTTGATTGAGTTCAAGAATGAAGTGATACTAATCGCCAAACTTCAACATCGAAATCTCGTAAAGCTTCTTGGGTATTGCAATCAAGGAGAGGAGAGAATGTTGATTTATGAATACTTGTCTAACAAAAGCCTGGACTACTATATTTTTGGTTAGAATCTTAAAAAACAAACAACTTTAAGTAGATTGGTACATTTCTTCTTTTTTTAGGATTTAATGTCTTTGACTTTTTGTTGTGTGTACCGAAGTTGGAGCAAAGACTAATTTGATAAATGAAAAAATATTAACAGATGAAACAAGAGGTAAATTGTTAAATTGGTCAAAGCGTTTTCACATCCTTCGCGGAATTGCTCGAGGGCTTCTCTACCTTCATCAAGATTCGAGACTAAGAATTATTCATAGAGATCTCAAAACAAGTAATGTGTTACTTGATAATGAGCTAAACCCGAAAATTTCTGACTTTGGGTTAGCTAGAATTTTTGGAGATCAGGGTGAAGAAAATACAACGAGAGTGGTTGGGACATAGTATGTCTACAAACCCATTTTTATTCTCTATAACACCATAATATACTTATATGTGTTTTGACTTTTGATGATGTTATGCAGTGGTTATATGGCACCAGAATATGCTATTTATGGAATGTTCTCGGTAAAATCTGATGTTTTCAGTTTTGGTGTTCTTCTATTGGAGATATTAAGCGGGAAGAAGAGCAGAGGGCACCATTTTATTCTTATTGAACTCGTAAGTGTTGAGAATATAATATTTATATAGGTTCCTTGTTGTAAAATATTGAATCACAACGTGAGCTTAATCTTGTTATAGGCGTGGAAATTGTGGACGGAAGAGAGGGCACTTGAACTGATCGATATATCAGTTAAGGACTCGTGCAATTTACCTGAGATATTCAGATGCATCCATGTGGGTCTCTTGTGTGTGCAACAGCTTCCAGATGACCGGCCGGACATGTTATCGGTGGTTCTGATGTTGAGTGGTGAGAGTGCATTGCCTCAGCCAAAGCAGCCTGGTTTCTTGATAGAAGTACAGAATGAAGCTCATCCCTCATCAAGCAAGCATGAATCTTGTTCAGCAAATGGTATGACTATTACATTGTTGGAGGCTCGTTAACAGATTTCCATGTTGTTGCCACATAATGAACTGATCAATAATGTCAAAAGAATCGGACGAGGCTGACACATTCAGTCGCATCACGTTTAATTCGCGACATTTTCAATTTCAATACATTTTCATTCATTCATTGTCTGAAAATCATTTTGTCACGGTGTTTTGATACATCTCAATGTTGTCCGAGTCGAGCATTCTTGAACCATATGTTAAGACAGAAAAGGGATAACATTTTGTCAATATATATGACTTTGTGGGCAAAGGCAACAAAATTGCACGTGATTGGGGTGTGGTACAGGCAACTAATTTTCACAAGTAAATTACATTTTACTCCCTTGAATTATTACCCTTATTTCATTTTATACCCTTAACTATAAAATTTCTCACATTGTACCCTAAAGTATTAATTTTAGTTATATCACTTTAATAGATAATGACAAATTTAAAAATCTTTCAAAGCCAAAAAATTTTCTTCCAAATGTCTAGTACTATTTTATTTTACCATTTTTGCAACTAAATGATTACTGGAAAAAATAAAAAAATAAATAAAAAAGGTCGACCAGAGGAAAAAAAATTTTGAGCTTAGGAAGGACAAAGTCATAGATAGGTATTTTTCTTAATTTTTGACCTACACATATTCAATAAACAGTTGCTTATTGATAGTACAAACTACTCACATGTGCATTTACCGTCAAAAAAAATTGACATTCGTTTAAAGTGGTATGAAACAAAATTGATATCTTAGGGTGTAATATACGAAATTTTATAATTAAAAGTATAAAATAAAACAAGAGTAATTGTTTAAGAAGGTCAAATGTAATTTATCCTTCTTTCTTTTTCATTTGTTTTTTCCCACTAATAACGGAGATTTGGTCGGTCAGCAACCAATGGTGTGTCATCTTACCCTTGTCCCTACCAAAAAGACTAGCAAAAGTCGAACAATTGAAGCCAAAAAGGTATGAACCTCTGGACTTTTAACAGTGTTTGGTTAACTTCTTGTGTGATCCAGTCTCGTCAGGTCTCTGACTGGTCAAATCCACTATGAATCTGATTGGTCCTTTCCCATTCCTGTCCATATTAAAACCAAAATTCTAAACAACCTGCCAAAATAATTTAGATGGAAAGACTTAAAAAGAGTGATTGGCTCGAAATCTCAAGTTAGAATATTAAAAGAAAGCTCCAGTTCAGTTGATAAAATTTATTTTGTTAATGATTGTATATATTTAAAATTTATATAATCGTCTCGAGTTAAAAGACGTGATATGACCTTAGTTTATAATAAAATTTAGAATAAATAAATTGTAGATAATCAATCTCAAAATTTATTTTCGAACTTTAATTCCTGGCGTATCATTTTGAACTATGAATATTTTGGCCGAATCCGGTGTCTTTTAAGTACAAATCACGCATGATTAGAAACACAAGAAAAAAAGAGAACATATTTTGAATACTCTAGTATATGTTACACACAACCAGCATACTACCAATGATTGGTCGGTTAAGTAGTGGGTAAGAATTCAAATTTTTTAGTTCAATATTTGAATTCGAGTTTCTATGACTACGGTAATTCGGTGGGGCTAAACCATCTCTTTAGTGCCCACACGGGGTGAGAAAAATGACATGCGCGTTTTTTTTAGGACTTAAAAGACAGTTAAAAACATAAAAACTATTTTACCCTTGATGAAATAAATAGTTATATTACAAAATGAGCAGTAAAAACAAGACAGTAATAATAACAGCGACACAATAACAACAAGACAGTAACAAGAATAGTAACAAGAATAGTAACAAGGACACAATAACAATTAAAGTAACAACAAGAACAGTAATAATAACAAAGACACAACAAGACAATAATAATAGCAAAGACACAATAACAATAATAATAGCAAAGACACAATAACAATATCACCAATTAGAATATTAAGAGAAAGCTCGAGTTTAATTTATAAAACTCATTTTGTGAATGATTGTAAATATTTAAAATTTATATAATTGTCACGAGGTAAAACCATTCATATTACATTGTATTTTCAATCACAGATTAACACAATCTTAAAATTAATTTCAAACTTGAATTCATGAGATAACATTTTGAATTATGAATATTATGTCTAAATTCAATCTCTTTATGTTCAAATCACATGTGATAGAAGCACAAAAAAAAAAAGAGCATATTTTGAATACTATAGCATATGTCCACACTGAAGCAACATATTACCGTCGATTGGTTGGTTCAATGGGTAAAAACTCAAATTTTATCGGTCATACTTAAATTCGAATCTTTATATCTACAACAACTCAATGAGGGCTAAACTAACTCTTTAGTGCTCAAAATACGAAGTGAGACCTTAGTTTCGATCTCAATAAATATGCAGTAAGATTTTCTACAAATAACTATACTGTATTAAGAGACAATATTTTTTGCCAATATGTGGAGCCACTTATCTCAAGCTCTTACCATCATTAAAAGGCTACATAGCCATTGCCTAGAGTTGTCCATTAGAACGACAAAAGATGATGGGCGTGACAAAAATATATCATCATTCTACAAGGCAAAAATTATTATTATTTCCAAGTCAATCTCTCTAAACGACACTGTTACATTTCACAGCCTCTAGAGTGTTCGTGGGTCGAATTGTCCACAGGTCTTGTTATTCAACCCAAAAAAATAAGTTTAAAA